ATGCCCCCTGAGACTGTCAAAACCCTCTGTAAGCAAGTCAGGTATGGAAAGCCAGCTGAAGAGTTCCCCAACTGTGCAGAGCCTTTGGGCATTTCTGCTGATGCCATCCCTGAGTGTTTGAGTGCTTTTCCTACATGTCCTGACTTTGGTTGTCTAAGCCAGATAACCCAGAAAGATCTTGTCAAAGCCCAAAACAAAGACTCAGTCATCACTCTAGTAGAGAAAGCGGTCAGAGACGAGCACCAGTTCCACTCTGTCAAGGGTGGAGATCCGCGAGTAACACTACTTCAGAGAGGGATCAATAAGCTACTGTTAGCTGATGAGCTGCTTTACAGAGTGACAGAGAGACCAACTGGAACAGAAGTTTGTCAGCTTGTCTTACCAGCAGAGTACATTCCCATGGAACCAGACTCTCAGGGATTGGCTAATATCCTTGTTTTCCTCGATTATTTTACCAGATACGCCCAAACTTTTCCTGCGAGGGACCCAAGAGCCTCAACTGTAGCCAAGATCCTCTGTGAGCACAACTTTGTGCACTATGGACTCCCCGCATGGATTCATTAGGATCAGGGGTGAGATTTTGAAAGTAAACTGATCAAAGACCTCCTGAGAATGTTGGGGATCCGTAAATCTAGAACATCAATGTGCCATCCCCAAGGACGCTCACAATCAGAACGAATATACCGCACCCTTCTGTCCATGCTTGGAACCCTGGATCCAAAGCAAAATCAGAAGTGGAATCAGAACATCAGTCAGTTGGTCCACGCCAACAATTGTACCAAAAATGAGGTAACTGGGTACTCACCTTATCTGCTGATGTTCAGGCGAGAAGCTCATCTGCCTGGACATCTGTTTTGGGGTGTCTAAGGAGAGTGACAAGAGTATGACCTACCAGCAGTATGTTACCAAGCTAAGAGCAGGTCTTTCTACTGAAGCTGCTGACAAAAGTCAGTCTGTTAACAATTAGGTGACCAGATGTCCCCATTTCCCTGGGACAGGCCCTATGACAGGACAGTAATGCCCGACAGCATCAAAGAAATCGACACAAAACTTGCTAATCAGGAAAGAGCCTTTATTTTGTGTTTTGCCTATGTTTGTCTTGGTTTGGAATATTGATTTAATTGCATGAGTATTTGATTTGTTTTGGTTGCAGTGTGCTTAGTTGTTAGAGGTTTTTGCTTGCCTAAATTTTCCTAATTTGTTATTAATTGCATGCAAGTTAGTTGAATGAATAATTTGGGTTCATCCTTTTTAGTTTAAGACTTAGACTATACCACCTCATGTTAGACAAACTCTTGGTGCAAATGAACTCTTGATGGAAAGAGGGCGGAGACTGATGAGTCTGCTCATGCCAGTTTTACTTTGTTTTTTCAGTTGAAGATGCACGAAGCAGCAAGGCCCCAAGGTCCACATGGGTGCTACAAAGTAGCAGTCGATAAGACTGTGTGCTGCTGAATGCTGCTGGACCCTGGACTGTTTAACATTGGGACTCTTACCGGTGGTTGGAGCATTTGGGACTCTTTTGTTGTTTTGAAAAATCATTCTTAACCAATCTTTAAATCTGTATTAATTTTTTTTTTAACCACACACACTTGCCAGCATGCTGTTTTTGGTTTGGTACGCTCCCCAGTAGATTAAATTTTACCTCAAAGTCACACCCGTGACACTCTGCAGGTATCTTTGATTCTGGAGCTGCAAGATCCAGATCTGACGCTAGTACTTCACACACATTATGGTTATGGTTATGATAAATTTTAATGATTATTATTATTATTATTGTCATTGGGCTGAATATGACGCAGACTTCAAAAAAAATTTTTTTTTAACTATTTTAGCAGCTGCATGTGGAGACAGTGACATTTTAGTAATGCATTCTGCCAAGATTAGCACGAGCAGTTCAGCAACATCAGCTGACACACTCACGCAATGCAGGCAGTGTGATCCCGGCGTAAGAGTTTCTCTTCTGATTGGCTCACCGACCTGTTTTTGCTAGAGCTCCAGAGGGAAGCCTGAGAGAGGGATGGTTTTTGGTGGTTAAAACCACAAACATGTCTTCTTATGAATATCAAAACTTTAAATTAAACACAGGAAAAGTGTTAAATATGGGACATTTCAATAAGCTTGTGTCAAGGCAGCAAGTAGTAGGCCTAAGGCTTTCAATAATATAAATGACCCGACTGAATTCCTGAGAGGGACTGATGCTGAGGGGTTTGTCAGTCTGTTAACAATAGGGTGACCAGATGTCCCCATTTCCCAGGGACAGGCCACCAAAAACGGGGACTGTCCCAGCTGGAGATGTCCCTGCAATTGTCCCTGTTTTCAATTGTGAAGTAAAAACCAGATGTCTAGCGTTGCGCTTGTTTTAGCCAACCAAGGGGGCTAGCTGCTAGCTATAGCACCTTTGGGAGTGAAGCTAAAACCATCAAAATAGAGTTATCCAATCAGATTTTTCTTTTTGTGTTGTCTCTAGGCAGAGAAGAGATTAGTTGGCTCACTCATTGGTTAGGAGTCTGTATGGGAGTGTGTCTGTGGGGACACAGACAAAGGCAAGATGGCCGATTCAAAATGGTCGCTGTGACCACATACCCTGTACAAGGAAGACTACACAAGATGGTAGTAAACAAGGAAACTACTCAAAATGGGACCACCTGGGGTGTGGGGGAGGGATGGTGTGAATTCCTTTGTTAGCCTAGCTCATGTAGTCTGAAGGTACGAGATTAGAGGGAGATGGTTAGCTACATGCAGGTGACGACTGAGACGTATTACAGGTATGTGTGTGAAGATACAATTCAATTAACTGTATGACTAACCACAACCTAAGCAAATATAACAACAACAAGACATTAAACAACATGTACATAAACAAAAGCTAAGACTTGTGCTGCTTAGCTGTGCTGTGCTAGGTGAGGTTAGGCCCAGTCAGTTAACGATACCCAATCCTTGGAAAAAAGAGTTCCTTTCCAGTGTTGTTGAAGTGTCCAGTGAGTTGGGTGGCTTCCTGGTGGAGTTAAGTCCTGTCTGGGTGTGTGGCTTTCACTGTTTTCTCCTTTGTTCTGCTCACAGAGTTAGCTGTTCTACGCTAACTCTGCTGTGTCTCCTGTTGCTTGGAAAATCATATTGACTTTGTGTTGTAGCCGCTGAAGTGAACTTGTTCACTCTGTGTTGAAAAGCGGAGTGAGGGAGAGTGTTGCAGTCTGCTGTGAGCAAGCCTGCAGGAAAGCTGTTGTTCCAGGTAGCCTGGTGCTGACCTGGTGCTGGGAGCTTTGTTGCTCCTTGAAGAGCTGAGAGGGAAGAAGGAGCTGTTGCTCCTGAGCACGCCAAGGAGGGAAGAGAAAGAACAGAGAAGGCGATAAGGTTTTGTCACCTTGGGGGGTCGCATGTTACACACTGACCGACACTAACTGGTCAGTGATGTCACAGGGGGGGTCCACCCCAGGTGTGAACAGTGAGGAACTCTGGGGAAGTGAGTTCATTGTGTGGAAAACAGAAGAAACGTGTTCTCCACCACCTTGGATCTACTGAGTCCTAACTACGGTCTGCAATGGACTTCACATGACAATATTCACAACTTGGAATACTTTTACAAAAAAGTGAATTTTGATTATTTTGATCTGTTGACTCGTACAAACTAAAGGAATGTACGTAATTGACGGATGTGCAAGAGATCACAGTATAGACAGTGTCTGTTCTGTGCAGGGATAATACTCCAACTGTAATGTGTTAGTTGATAATTAATGAGGCCAGACATAGAAGAAAAAGCAGGGCAGGTCCATCACTGGGGAGGACTGGGCTGGAATTCTGGTCCTGATACAAACCAACATGTGATAGGACAATTCGTTTAGATCTTACAAGTTCTTTATATTCAAACATGGTAGGTCTGTTGTGTGTATAATAAATAGTAAGGATAGATAAGAATATGCTAAAATAAATACAGTATTAGGCAGTGGGTCCTGAACCCTTGAAGTGTTTGTCGGAATGGTTGTCATTTGCACTAATGATACTTTTCGCTACAGACCAACATTAGATGTTATTCACCAGTCTAAAAGAAAAGTTAGTAGTTAGTTAGTCAGGAGCTGTAGCAAAACTTAATGCTCTGAGGGAAGCTGTTCTTCTTCCTGGGACTGAGAGCAGACTAGATGCTACGCTGACTCATACAGCATCTAGTGTCACAAAGTGGTATTACAACACGGTGTTGGTTAGCATGCTCATTTCAGTAGATACCTCTGAAATACAATAGATGGAGGTCTTGGTCATGATATCATCACTGTGGCTCCTTCACATACTATTGACTGTGTTAGTTCATTTTTTGAACATTTTAAATTAAAATTCTGGACAGATCTGGCCAGATCTTACACATTGCACCTTTAAGAAGTTCTGTCTTGCCATTTTTAGTTCCAGGTTATGGATACAAAGTCTCTATAGATGTCATAGTGTAGCTGGAGTTTGGTTTTTCATCACCTGCGATCTGCCTCTCTACATTCTTTTTTTTTTGGAGCTTTTAACTGTGTGGTGTTCCTCCACTGTGCTTTCTTCTTACCAGAGACAACTTTGTTCTTTCTGGGGGCAATGGCATCAATAACATTCATAATTGTAGAGCTGAAATTGCCTACAATATCATTGACAGGAAGAGAAGGCAGAGCTGTAGTAGTTGAAAAATACTTGGTGAATAATGTACAGGTGTTTTTTTTACTGATATAGCACTTCCTGATTACCTCTGTGTTCATTCGGCTGGTGTCAGCAGAGATGGACATTTTAAAGAAAACAGTCATGATCAGAAAGGGCAACATCAGTCACCACAATCTCAAAAAGACGTAGGCCCTTGGAAATAATTGGATTTAAGTCAAGGTGAGGGTATTATGGTGACAGGTTATTAGGAGTGTTTAACACAAAGCCAACGTTTATGTGATTTTAATGTTACTTTCTATTCATTGTCCCCAAAGACATTTTAAACTACAAATGATCCTGAAACCTGGAATAATTAAAGTGTGTGTATTTCAGATATTATTCAATAAAGACAACGACAGAAAAAACATGACACAGTAAAAGATATTCAAAAACAGTCCTTTGTTGTGGACATTGGGGCAGTGTTTGTCTTTCTTCAATGTAAAACAATCAGAATTTTGGAGGAATGGCTTGGGAGGAATGGTTTGCTGTAGGGCTGAAAGAAAAAAAAATTAAATCTTGATAATTATTTAATTTAGTCTTTAAAATATGATGACAATGTGTAAATGCATGAGGTGACATCTCCCACACTGTTACAGTTTATTGTCCTGTTGGAAATACATTGCGATTCACAAGAACTCCTAAAATATGTTGCTCGTAAAAGTGTTTGCTTGAGCCAGTTGAATGTGCGGTGCACATGCATGTGTGTGCACATTATCAGGATGGTACCACCTCCACCACTGTTTGAGACAGGAAAAAACCTGAGGGAGAGAAAGGGACAAGAGCCATCCATTAGACTATGAGAATGGAGGTCAGGTGGGGCGGGGGGACTTTGCCTGATTATATTGTATCAATACCTGTATAACACTTGTGCAGATTCAGAAATAACCAACTTTTAATGTTCAGTGATTCAAGCAAATGTTCTTACGCAGTCCATATGTGCACACAAACCTGAATACATTCTTTAACAAAACACACACAAAACACAATAACAAATTTTGTAGTTTTTAATTACATTTTGCCTGAAATCTTTAATTAGAACAAGATAAATGTAAGATGTTAAATCAATGTAATACAATATAATTACCTAGCAGCCCAGTGCACAGAAAGACTGCCAAAACCACCTCAGTCTACGACTGGACTCAGACCAGTCCAAGTCAGGAATGAGACTCAGGACCATGCTATCTGCAATAATCCTGTTCCAGGACTAAGATTTAACCAGCACACAGTAGTTCTTCATCCTGTTACTTCACACTTAAATATGATCATAGTTCACTCATCAGTGGTTCGTCTTTTCTGAAGTACTGCAGTGTTTCAGTACTTTGAAACTTTCTCATCATGTGTCTCTGCAAACAAAGTCTGTTAATCTTCCTCCATCTCCAGCTGACGATGCGATTTGTACTGCTGTCATCTCAAGCATTCATATGCACATAAACTCTGTCTTTCAAATCTTGTTCAGACACTAAGGATCCATATTCCCTCAAAGCAAATACAGCCTGTGGTTCTTTAGAGGTCCAATATTTTACACGTTTCTGGCAGCACCTTGTAGTTGCAGGATGACAACAGATGGAAACTCTTTTCATGCTGGTCTGTATGCTGGGGCGAGTACCCTGTGCATTGCACCATAACTATCATTTTGGAGTTTCTGCAGTCCATTCTAGATGAGGGCCATATTCCCGTTACATTACATGTATATGTGGCTGCTATTTCGTTTTGGCATGCTGGAGAGGACAATAACAGTGGGGAGCCACTGTCTGGTGTCCCTTTTCTTAAGAGGGGCTCGGAGGGTGTGTTCCCTGAGAGCTCCAAGAGCTCCTGTCTGGGACATGCCCCTAGTGTTGGATGCTTGCCTCCCTTTGAGACCTTGGAAAGAATGGAACTGAGATGGGTTTCCATTAAGACATCGTTCCTCCTTGCCATTACTTCAGCCAAGCATGTCTGACTCATGTCTGATATGCCCAGTAAGAGCCCTTATGTTGACACTACTCTGTGCATCCAACAACCTAAACAGCTCTTTATTTGTTATGATGGCCCGAGGTGAGGTTGCTTTGTTTCCAAGCAGTGCCTATCCCACTGGATTGTGGATGTGATTGCCCATGCATATAAGGTGAATAATCACCATCTGCCATCTGAAGTCAAGTGCCACTCTATCAGGAGTGTCTCCACTTTATGGGTGGCCCTGAGGGGAGTGTCCCTTGCAGTCATATGTGGCCTCGTGGGCATCACCAAGTACATTTCTGGGTTCTACAAGGTGAATGTCGCCACCCCACATCCTCTGGACGTGGTTCTTCTCTGCATTTACGCTGTGAGGTATGTACTTGGAATTCTTCATGACTTTGTTGGTATTAGTTATCCAGTGCTTAAAGCACAAGCTGTTATCCAGGAATCATAGAACCATAGCTACGTACGTAAATTTCGTTTTACATGTCCTCTCTCAGGCTTCTCTCTGGAGCTCTAGTAACAACGGGTTGATCACCCAATCAGAATTCTGATTGGGTGATCAAATAAAAGTATAGCAGATTTCAGGTAAACACCCAGAGACACCATCCTACAACGTTGGATGGTGGGTCCAGGTGGGCGGGGCTTGGGGCAAGGCTGAGGGCGGTGACTGCTTTGTTGTGACTTCACAAAGTTCCAGAAGTCGTGACGGCTGGTTTTAAGGCTCAGTTTCTGAATACAGGCTGTGTGCATCTCTCTGTGGACTGCGGCTTTGATACTTTCATAGTATTAATATAGAACCTAGACCTGCTTTATAATCAAAGACGATATGCAAATCTCTCTTTACACAGTATTGGACCTTTAAGAAATTAGGTAGATATTTTCTGGACCTCGAGCCAAAATGTGATTTATGAATATGTTGGTAATGAAATGAGCCCACGTCAGACTGTATTGACGACAGATTTGTTATAGCCCCTCTGTGACTGCAGGAGTTTTCCCAGTTTTCCTGTGTCTTTCCCTGTCAGTCTTCCCTTGTGTCTCCTCCCTTTTTTTTCTGTGTGTGTGTGTGCTTCTCAGCAGGGGCATGGTGCAGCACTGGCTACCTGGCTCACCTGTTTCCCATCAGTCATCAAGCTCTCTATAAGAACCCTGGCTCTCCACTGACTAATTGCCAGATTGCGCCACTATCCATGTGGTAATGTGCCAGGCCACTAAATGTGTGCATCTTAAACTGTGATTCCTTACTACATGTTCTTTTGGATTATTCCTCACCGGTGTCCCTGTCTGCTTTCAGTGCTCCAGTGCTGCTGCTTGCCTCTGCTGAACCTGCTGCTTCCAATCTGACCACTCACCTGTTCCACACCAGCCATCAACCTCCACACTCCTCCTGCTACAACCCAGATTCCTCTCTCTTTCCCACTCTGATTTCCGTTAAATAACTTTTGGTTTATACACTACTGGTTGTTCTGTACTTGAATCTGCTCTGGGGTCCAAGCTGCCTTTAGTCAGAATGTTACAAGATTGATGAGTAGGAGACAGAGTTTCAGTACTCACAGGTTTTGTCTCTGGAAGCTTTAATCACCCTGTCATCGACCCTGTAAGAACAATCACAACAACAGTTACAGAGTGAGTGGAAAATAATCAGGTTTAGTTTGAGTTAGTTTTATTAAACCCAACAGTGACGATCCCAGATCAGTCTCACCCAGCTGAGTATTAACTGATCCAGTATCAATGAGCCTGATCAGTAGGTTAGTCACTGAACTTTGGGATCAACTGGAGCTTTACAGTCTCACTTATAAACACAGTACCTTGGTAGCAGTAATGATCACTATGGTAACCACAAGGGCTGTCATGTGTGTGTATTTAGTTTATCTGATCAAATGGGTCAGAACATCACCTTCAGACCAAACTTCATTTGACCTGAACACAGATTCTTTAATGGACAGGATTCCTGACAGTGATGAAGCTTTTACTCTCCTCTTCATCACTGCAGCTCAGAACAACATGAGAAATCAAAACTAAACCAACAATGATCCACACACTGTTCAAACTGACTCATCAGACATCAACTACTTCTCAGCAGAAACAGTCTGATATTAACTTTAACCACTTTATCTGCATTACATGTTCTCTCTCTGTCTGTCTGTCCAATCCTGAAGCCTGTCACCATTCCCCTATCACAGCTTGACTGAGGAAAGCAGCCACTGAGAAGGTTGGAGGTTTACGGGAAACACTGGATCTTTGCTCTGATACTGTGTTTAATACAATACTGCTGAGAGCAGCATGGACTGACCCCAACACTCTACTGACCTCAGACTCTCCAGTCTACAGTCTGGACTCTCCAGAAAACCACACAGATCCTTCAGGTCTGAATCCTGCAGGTTGTTGTAGCTCAGGTCCAGTTCTCTCAGATGGGAGGGGTTGGACTTCAGAGCTGAGGCCAGGGAAGCACAGCTGATCTCTGACAACCTGCAGTGGATCAATCTGATAAAGAATTAAAGATTTAGTTAAAAATGTCAACACAATATTCATACACCTATTCATGCCCACACAGATTAATCTCTCTCTCTCTCTCTCTCTCTCTCTCTCTCTCTCTCACTCACACACACACACACACACATACACACACACACACATACACACACTCATACACAGGACATTTTCTACAGTGTATTTAGAAAACATGAAACCTCTGACTGAGAGAAATATGAGTGTGTGAGTTCTGAAGGTTGAACTGAAGTGAACAGACATTATTCATGACAACTGAGTGAAATGAGCTGAAACTGAAGAATCATTCTCAGTCTGAGAGAAGAACAACTGGAAACATGAGACAACAACTATTTAAAATGTCATTCATTACATCACAGTGAATGATTCAAGTTATGTGTCAAGATTAATTAGGTTCAGTTGTGGGACAAAGATGAACTGACCTCAGAGTCTCCAGTCTACAGTCTGGACTCTCCAGAAAACCACACAGATCCTTCACTCCTGAATCCTGCAGGTTGTTGTAGCTCAGGTCCAGGTGTCTCAGATGGGAGGGGTTGGACTTCAGAGCTGAGACCAGAGGAGAACAGCTGATCTCTGACAAACTGCAGTGACTTAATCTGAATAAAGAATAAAAGATGTAGATAAAATCATTGCTAATCAATCAGATATGTCCTAATCAATGACCTCTAGTCTAAAATGAATAGAGGGACTTTGTCCTTCTGTTATTGTGGATCATCATAATGTCAGCCATCTACAGTCATCATCCAAATGTCAGCACAACATTCATACACCTCTTCATGTCAACACAGATTCATCACATGCTGCTGACCTCAGAACAGTCTGTCACTATAGAATCAATATCTGATCAGACATGTTGGACTAAAAACTGACTACAACACTTTCATTCATGACTGAACTGGATCACAGTTTAAAGATCCAGTCCTGACCCAGTAAAAAGGTCTTGCTTGGTCCTGGTCTCAGGAAATCCAAATCCAAACACATATTAAAGTGAACACAAACTGTTTTCATCACACACACACACACACACACACACACACACACACACACACACACACACACACACACACGCACTCTCCTCTGACTGAGAGAAATATGAGTGTGTGAGTTCTGAAGGTTGAACTGAAGTGAACAGACATTATTCATGACAACTGAGTGAAATGAGCTGAAACTGAAGAATCATTGTCAGTCTGAGAGAAGAACAACTGGAAACATGAGACAACAACTATTTAAAATGTCATTCATTCATTACATCACAGTGAATGATTCAAGTTATTTGTCAATATTAATCAGGTTCAGTTGTGGGACAAAGATGAACTGACCTCAGAGTCTCCAGTCTACAGTCTGGACTCTCCAGAAAACCACACAGATCCTTCACTCCTGAATCCTGCAGGTTGTTGTAGCTCAGGTCCAGGTATCTCAGATGGGAGGGGTTGGACTTCAGAGCTGAGGCCACAGGAGAACAGCTGATTTCTGACAACCTGCAGTTCCACAATCTGAATAAAGAATAAAAGATGTGAGTTTAGGAGACAAAGTTCCTGCTTTTCTGTTGGACTTTGGAACTGCCAGTCTGCAGTGAACAAAACAGATTTCATTTCTGACTCCTGAGCTTGTGTGAGACCTGGATCAAACCTGAAAACACTGCTACCCCAGCTGCGCTTTCCAATAACCACACATTCTCCCATACCTGTCTGGCCGAGGAGGTGGTACTGGTCTCCTCAAGTCCAACAAATGGACTTTCACTCAACTGTTGCTTCCAAACAAATACTCCTCATTAGAGTATCATGTTGTCATGGTGACTGCTCTGGTGAAAGTCTCTGTGGTTGTCATCTACCGTCCACCAGGACAACTAGGTGATTTTGTGGATGAGCTAGACACTGTTGTCCTATATTCCTGACCATGGCTGTCTGCGACTCATACTAGGTGATATTAACATCCACTTAGACAATCACAGCTCTTCTGATTTCCTGTCCACGATACACTCATTTGACTTAAAACGTGTCTGCAATCCTCCAACTCACAAAGCTGGTAAAGTACTTGACCTCACCTGAAATTGTGCCACAGATTTTCTGCCAGTTAAACCGCTGCAACTCTCCAACCACTATTTCATTTGCTTCTCTGTTTGCCTCCCTGATCTACCATCCATCCCACCACCTCTGGTTTCTGCCGCAACCTCACTAACTTTTATCCCACTCACTTTTACTCAGTGCTCACTTCAGCTCTACCTTCCACTAGCACTTTTTCCTCATTCAATGAGATTCGCAGTACCACAGACACTCGGAAACTATTTTCCACTTTTAAAACCCTAACCAATCCTCCGCCACCCCCACCAGACACATACCTCTCAGCTGATATATCTTTGCCTCGTTCTTCACCGAAAAGGTTGCGGCCATCAGCTGCCAATTCTCGGAACCTCCCAGAGACAACCATTCTCTGCTGAACAAGGGTGCAAAAGACACAACTTTTCCCCATTTTCCCCTCTCAGTCAAAACGATTTGTCAAAACTCCTGACCAATAGCCCGTCCCACTACATGTACGCTAGATCCCATTCCCACAAACCTCCTCCATAGCCATATCTCCCTCCATTGTACCAGCAGTCACACATGTAGTAAATGCTTCACTGGCTCAGGTAACTTCAAAAAACCCTCACTTGACCCTGCTCATGTGGAGAACTATAGACCCGCCTCACTGCTTCCATTCCATCTAAGTGTATAGAAAGAGCAGCATTTAAAATTGTCTCAGAATTCCTATCATGGAACAATCTCCTTGATCCAAATCAGACAGGCTTTAAGAGCGGCCACTCCACTGAAAGGCCCTGTTGTCTGTGACAGAAGCCTTGAGGGCAGCTAGAAATGCAGGTCCGTCCTCAGTTCTTATCTTGCTGGACCCCTCAGCAGCTTTTGATACAGTGAACCATCCTGCTGTCTGTACTCTCCAACGTGGCCATCTTGGGCAACGCCCTTTCTTGGTTTGAATCCTATCTCACAGGGTTCTCTTGCAGTGTGTCATGGCAAGGGAAAATGTCCTTAGCCCATCTCCTCCCCATGATCCCCAAGGATCGGTACTGGGACCCCTCCTCTTTGCAATATACACCACACCTCCGTGGGCCCAATTATCCACTCACATGTCTTCTCATAGCACTGCTATGCTGACGAAACCCACCTATTCCTGTCATTCCCACCAGACGACCCCACTGTCTTTGAGCAGATCTCTGCCTGTCTCTCTGACATATCTGCATGGATAAAGTCAACTAAACCTCTCTAACACTGAACTAGGGATACAGCGATTAACTGGTTTCACTATTAACCTCCTTTTAAAACTACACGGTTATGTAATCGTAAAGGCTCAGCTACACCGAGTGGGTGTCTGTTCTCAATCAAAAATGGGACATTATGCTGGTGCAGTATTGTTCTCACTTTGGATAAAAGCATCTGCTAAATGTGTAAATATAAATGATATGCTCACACTTTAATACATTAACATGTAATGTTATTGTAAATTAGCATCACTGCAACACTATAATGAATTAATGCTAGCATAAATCTGCACATCAACAAACTCACACTGTTCATAGAAAGTAAATCAAACTTAACTAAGGTATTAAAACACCAAAACTTACAGCCGTTGCTTTCGAGGGCGTGAGAAAAGACACAGGAGAAGCTCTCACCATGCACATATCTCTGCTTCACACTACTTGTTTACTACTGTGGGTTCCCTATCCCACAATAAACAGCATGTCTTTTGCAATGCATCAAAATAAATGTGCATCATGAGTTCAATGCAAACCAATGTGATACTGTGCTTCTATAGATAATATATATCAACATGAATTATAGTAGTAATAAAGTAATGTCCATTAACCTCCTACAGACTTAAATCAGAGGGCAGAGTACTGGAGCAAGAAAACACTGAAACATGGAGTCTGACCTCAGAGTCTCCAGTTTACAGTCTGGACTCTCCAGAAAACCACATAGATCCTTCACTCCTGAATCCTGCAGGTCATTGTTAGTCAGGTCCAGGTGTCTCAGATGGGAGGGGTTGGACTTCAGAGCTGAAGCCAGAGGAGAACAGCTGATCTCTGACAACCTGCAGTGACTCAATCTGAATAAAGAACAAAAGATTTAGATAAAATCATTTTATTATCAATCAGACATGTCCTACTTAATTACCTCTTCTCTAAAATGAGTGACTTTGTCCTGTTATTGTGGATCATCATAATGTCAGCCTTCTACAGTCATCATCCAAATGCACAGATTCATCACATGCTGCTGACCTCAGTACAGTCTGTCAATATAGAATCAATACCTGATCAAACATGTTGCACTAAAAACTGACTATAATGTAGCCCCTTGGTGCCTCAGCTGGTAGAGCGTGAACCATGAAGGCTTAGCCCTAACCGTAGCATCCTGGGTTTGAATCCAACCTGTGGCCCTTCGCTGCATGTCATCCAATCTTTCTCTCTTCCTGACTTCCCTGTGTCTATTTAACTGTGGCTATCAAAATAAAGGCACTGCCAAAAAAAAACAAAAAAAAAACAACTTTTTTGACAAATTAAAATGAAGTGCTAAACTGTGGGTGGAACTAAGGCGTTTATGGTACATTAGAAATCAGAGCACCTATGGCACATAGGGCAGATGAAAACTTGAACCTGTTGCACCTGTAGGTGGTGTAGAGAATAAAAGTGGGGACAGGACACAACTCTGTGGGGAGCCTGAGGAAGACAAATGCTGCTTCACGCTTTACTCCTCTACAAGTGAAGGAGACCACAATCCATCTGACACCATTACCATCTGGATTAAACAGATGTTGCAGTTTGTCAGCCAAAACATTGGGCAGACACATGATGATCTAAACATGGTGATGGTCAAACACATTGTTTTGTAACAGAAACAGTTTATTACAGGGTTGTCTGTGATTTCTACAAAGTGTTGTTTTCATCTTTGTAGGATCGGTATGTAATACACAGTACTAAAACTAGACATACAGCATTTAATGATTGAGGTTCAACACAAAAGCATCTCAGTGAGATCTGACCTGAGTGTCTCCAGTGTACAGTGTTGACTCCTCAGTCCGGCAGAGAGCAGCTCCACTCCTGAATCCTGCAGCTTGTTGTTACTCAGGTCCAATTCTCTCAGACTAGAGGACTGGGAGCTGAGAACTGAGGACAGAGCTTCACAGCTTCTCTCTGAGAGGTTACAGCCACTCAGCCTGAAGGAGAGTTAATGATCAGGAGATTTTAATTGTGTAGAGATTTCATGTTATTTTAAAGGGAAAGGACAAAAACCAACATTAGTTATTACACTGTAAAATTTTAGATTACAATGATTTGTAGTAAGTAAATGTTGGTCATCAGTAAGAACCAGATTGTTAAGAAATCATTTTGCATGGCTGCATTCATCTGTAGAAATGAACACAGATGGATAAACACTGAAGAAACAAGTTGGACCACAACAGCAGGGCCACCTGTATTATCGCGAATGTCCTTGACTGACTGACTGACTGATCATATTTCCACCATTGGCTAGAGTTGCAGCTTCCTCATTGGCTGTTACTCTTTCCATATGATTTGGTGCAAAAAGGTTCTATTAGGGAGGTGTTTACAGCAGCAGTGTTGACAACTTAGCGCATTTATTGCAATATTTAGAGACTTTTTTCAAACAGACTGGGTATAAACCTGGTACATGACTGGACCGTGTATGGATGCCGACCAGAACATCAGGGCTACACCTTGTTACAGGCAGTCTACTGAGCTGCCTTAGTTTCGGCTGCTTGGAGGCTACTGGGAAGCAGAGGATTATTGTATGTATCATGATGAATAAAGGAAGCAGATGAATAACTACACATAAGACACACTGAGCAGAGAGAGCAGGAGAGAGGGAGGGAGAGAGAGAAGTCATAGCAAACTGCTAAAGAAACTAGCAGATCTGAATAACATGTAAACAACAGAAACATCAGCAAAAGGAAATGAGACAATACTCTTACTACAGCACAGCAATCAAAGCCCTGGTAAGAAATAAAGGGTTTCTGTCATTTGTTGTGAACTCAGCTGTATTAAAACCCTGTCTTTGTGAGCACAGAGAGGGGAAGAGAACAGATGAAACCAGCTGACACAAGACAATGATGTCAGTTGTTTACAGTAGTTCCACAACAGTTTTCAACTAAGTCCTCAATTTCGCACATTGACCATACACAGTCCAGCCACATACTTGGTGTTAACCTAGTCTTGTTTACAGTTTTTTTCAGTTGATAACACACTAAAATGAGACACAAAGCATAATTATTGAAACTGAACAATTGTAAATAACTGTAATTACAACCCAACACATCTGACACAGTTAGTATCTGCAGTTGTCAGTGCACCTACAGAACTTTGTTGGAGGCTTTAACCACTGGAATCAGCCTCAGAAGAGCCTCCTCCGAAGCAGAGGAAAAGTATTTCTTCAGGTCAAACACGTCCAGATCTTTTTCTGAAGACAGTAAGATGAAGCCCAGAGCTGACCATTGAGCAGGAGACAGTTCATCTGTGGACAGACGTCCTGATCTCAGGTACTGTTGGATCTCTTCCACTAGAGAACCATCATTCAGTTCATTCAGACAGTGGAACAGGTTGATGCTTCTCTCTGGAGACAGATTCTCACTGATCTTCATTTTGATGTAATTGACTGTTTCCTGATTGGTCTGTGACCTACTGTCTGTCTTTTTTAGCAGGTCCCGTAGTTTATCCTGATTGGTCTGCAGTGAAAGACCCAGGAGGAAGCGAAGGAACAAGTCCAGGTGACCATTTGCACTCTGTAAGGCCTTGTCAATGGCAATCCTGTGGATCTTGCGTGCAGAGGTTTTCCTCAAAAGGAGTCCCATGTTTTGAAGTGACGGTCGTGGCAAAGGCATCACATTCTTGTTTCTGTTAATGTGAGATATCTCCACATAAACAGCAGCCAAAAACTCCTGAATGCTCAGATGCACAAAGCTGAAGACCTTGTCTTTCTCTTTCCTCCCACGCTCTTTTTTAAAGATCTCTGTGAACACTCCTGAGTACACTGAGGCTGCTCTGAAATCAATGCCACTCTCTTTCAGATCTTCCCCGTAGAAGATTAGGTTGCCCTTTTCCATTTGCTGAAAAGCCAGTTTTGCTAATGACTCAATGTACTGAATGCACTTTTCTTGGCCGTACTTCTCTTTAGTCTGATCAATTTGAAACACCAGGAACTCTGTGTACATCTCAGTCAGGGTCTTGGGCAGCTCTCCTCCCTCTCTGGTCTTCAACACCTCCTCCAGAACTGTAGCAGTGATCCAGCAGAAGACTGGGATGTGGCACATGATGTGGAGGCTTCGTGATGTCTTGATGTGGGAGATGATCCTGCTGGCCTGCTTCTCACATCTGAACCTCTTATTGAGGTACTCCTCTTTCTGTGGGTCAGTGAACCCTCTAACCTCTGTTGTGCTGTCCACAAACCCTTGAGGGATCTGATTGGCTGCTGCAGGTCGCGTGGTTATCCAGACACGAGCAGAGCGTAGCAGTTTCCCATTGATGAGTCTCCTCAGCAGAACATCTGCTTTAGTTGACAGTGTTACATCAATAGAGCCAACATCCTCGGCATTAAGGTCCAGATGAAGGCGGCTCTCATCCAGTCCATCAAACACAAACAGCAGTTTGAATTTGCTCTTGTCAAAGTTCGTGTTTCCTGACGACTGTAGAGTTGTAAAGATGTAATTAAGAGCTTCCTCTTTGATGTCCATAGTTTCTGGTATACATTCATGAATTAGTTCTGCCAAACAAAACTCTTTTCCCTTCAGTGAATTCAGCCGACGGAAAGTGAAGGGGAAAAGGAGATGCACATCTTGATTGGTTCTTTTTTCAGCCCAGTCCAACACAAACTTGTGCACAAAGAATGTTTTTCCAATTCCTGCAACTCCATTGGTCAGCACTGTTCTCATGGGTCTGTATTTTCCAGAAGGGTGTTTGAACATGTCACTGGGTTTAATTGGTTTCTCTGTTTCTGCTGGCTTCCCTGCCTTCTCGATCAGTCTGACCTCATGCTGAGTGTTGATGTGTACGTCAGCCCCGACTGTGATGTACAGCTCTGTGTAGATATCAACTAGAAACTGTTTATCTTCTGCCCACCCTTCTTGCAGACACACAAACTTGTCCTGGAAATTAGACTGAAGCATCTGTTGGTAATATTTGATGGGGGGTGTCTCTGGTACAGGAACCATTACATCTGTGTCAAACAAGAAGAGAAACATTCAAAGTGTGAGGTATATGTCTACAGATGCCTCTTTCCTTGCTTCTAGATGAAGTAAACACAAGATTTGGTTGTAAAGTAAAGTAATTGTCCCCCTAAAAATAATCTGCAACACAACACAACCTTAAAAACTAATGCTCATGGTGTGAAGATGTTTGCAGCATTTAATTAAGCAAAGATTATAACTTTAGGCAAAGTAAGTTGTCTGTGGAAACTATTCCAGTATTCATATTCTAATACTGAGGTGTAGAAGTGGTTGCAGCATGCAGCCACTTCTATTGTTTCCAGTGTAAGAAGGACCTGCAGCAGCAAGGACAGAGAGGACTGCTGTCCTTCTCACACTCTACGTGTACAGCTGTTTGCTGCTGCCATTTGAATTGACGAGTGTTGAAACTTTCCAGCTGGTCATTACAGTTTAGCATGTAACTATGGTAACTGCTGAAGCCACAGGTAAGACAGCAAGAGCAGCAGGAGTTGGAGGAAAACGGACTTGGAGGATCATCAGCTTTTAAAGTTAATCAATATGGACCAATATGTAATGTTAATAATTTTTATTTCCTCATTTGATTCTGTTTCTAAAATGAGGGTATAATTTTGAAGTGAAAGCAGAAAGCTGGTTATGAGTTGACATTTAGAGCTTGCAACAAGAAGTTTGTAATTCTACTTTTAAAATTAAAAAACTCTGCATACCTAGGAAATGGTTTCCACAAGTTCACCTGGAGCTCCCAAACTGCAGGTAAGTCTGTTTCTCTCTGCTGCTGATTTTTCACAAAGGACCAGGCTTTAGCCTATCCATTTCAGCTGTCAATCGAGTTTAATATCATGCCCCCAAAGTTCAGTGAAGTCAGCCATGTCGTGAAGAAGGCAAGGTCTTCATCAGCTCCAGGCTTCAATGGAGTAATTCATAATCTCTATAAGAACTGGCCTAAGGGTCTAGAACAGCTATGGTACCTCATGAGAACTGCTTGGAAAAAACAATGTATTCATCTAAGTGGCAAAGAGTGGTAGTGATCTTCATTCGCAAGGAAGCAAACTCTTAAGACATCGGCCACTTCAGCAGCATTACACTGCATAATGTTGAAAGGAAAATCTTCTTCTCTGTACTGGATAGAAAGATGACTAGCTACTTGACTGAGATTAGCTACATTGATGCCAGCTGCCAGAAGGCAGGAGTACCAGGCTTCCCAGTGTGCATGGATAACCCTGGGTCAACCTCTTTTCACCACCAGGTGGCAGCAGCTAGCGGTAGGAATCACTGCTGGAAGCGGTGTAAAAATGAGGTGAGACGGCAAATCTCTAGATCATACAACACGTTCCACACAAGTATGTCATGCAGGAAGTGTCTAAGGTCTAACACATTAACATGTGCGCCAAAATGAAAACCAAGATGTTCCACAGCCGCTAAAAACACACATCCGGTGTGTTCCTGGCCTTACATGAATGATGTCACCAGCCTCCTTCAGACATCAGTGTTCACATCCTGACAGCTAAAGAGAGTGTCCTGGCTTGCTTTGGTTCCACTCTGACATGGGCCTCTGTGGAAAGAAGACCTTGCAGCTGCCACTGCAATCCATCACTTTAGGCTACAAACAGGAAAAGACCAGTTTGGTTCTTAAACTGAGAGCATCCACACATCAGTCAGTGAGGAATACAATCGCCAAGGTATCTATTGGCCAGAAGTGAAAAGCCCAAACTGAGGAAGACCATGAAATTGGTGGGCTGCAGAACCAAGAACTTAATCGGCAGGGACCAGGCAGGAAAGACAGTGCCATGTTTTTAGTCCAAGGCCAAACAGAAAGAGAGAAAGGTGATGGTGGCAGAACTGACAAGGATGGCGGAAGGGAGCTACAAGATCAAGGCTGTTTCAGAGGGCTGACAACGAAGCTAGACAGTCTGGGATGAGGTTGTCAACTGGAAGATCAGCTGGTCATACTGGTGGAAGATTCCACAAGCGAGGCTCAGCTCCCTCATCAGGGCATCCTACAACCACTTGCCTGTCCGAGGAACCTGCACCAGTGGTTCGGCAATGAGCAATGCTGCTTGCTCTGCAAAGCTGCCAATACAAGCCTCCAGCATATCCTGTCAGGCTGAAAGAGCGTGCTTTCACAAGGGTGCTAAAGACAGCAATATGACCAGGTGCTAAAGATAGCTGAGGTGCTGGAGGGGTGCAGACAGGAAAGCAGAGGATGTTCAACACCAGTGTAACACTACATCCATTTTGTCAAAATCTCTAGGTATGTTAATAAGAGGCAGGAGGCCAATAAACCCAACCACAAACTCCAACCGGGAGTTGACTATGAGAGCCAATCTCGGCAGGCAGCTCTATTTCCCCAGCAAGATTACCACTGCATCTCTCCACCCTGACATAGTAGTGTGGTCCACCAAGGCAAAAGTAGTACTCCTTATCAAACGCACAATACCATGGGATTAAAGGATGGAGGCTGCCTTTGAAATAAAGAAGTCTAAGTACTAAGATCTTGTTGCTGAGTGCAGGGAGGCCGGTAGGAGCACTACCATCTACTCATTGCAGGTGGATACTGAGGTTGTATGGGAATGTCAACCACATGACAGGTTAAGAGATGCAGTGACAGGAGTAGAGCTGAAGAATGCAATAAAAGATCTGAAAATGGAGGTGAAGAAAGGCAGTTTTTGCCTGTTGCTGAGGAGGAAGGAGAAGTTTTGGGGAAAGAATATCTAACCCAGACAGCAGCTGCAGGGGTAGAAGGGAGACGTACCTGTCACTGCTTTGCCATCAGGAGATGTTCCTGGATTAAAGGAGTGACTGGGGATTCGTGCCTAATGACCCTGCAACTGACCCATGGGCACAGGAGGAGGTGTGACAGGCAGCAATGCCCAGCAGGTTACACCCGCTACCTCTAAGCTTACATCGATGGCAGTGAAACAACTGAGAACTACCACTCATAGAATCCCCACTGTACTTCACTGGGGTATGGTGTGGGGGAAGGTAACCTTGAAACAAAGTTGTCTAGGTTTCTGCTGTAATGTTAAACAACCCCTCAGACCATCACTGGAGCCCCACCTGCTGAGCTGTTCATGAACTGGAGGATAAGCACCCAGTTGGACTCACTAAACTTACTAAAACATAATTTTTTAAACTAAAAAACTACATTTTACCTTTCAGGTTTTCCATACCTACCAGAGAACACAGCAGCTTTACCTTCAGTCTGAGGAAGAGGAGCCCGAGTCTGAGAGGAGGAAAGTCCTCTGTTCTCTGAAGTCTCCCCAACATCACTGACAACCACTGACAGAGAGAGAGAGAGAGAGAGAGAGAGAGAGATAGATTATGTGTCTCCACTCATTAATGCTATTATTGATTTATTATTTATCATTAGGTTAATCTGTATGCAGACATTTCTTAAGTTTAATGTCGCAACCTGGTTTAGTAAATGACTAGTTTTAAACCAGCTGGTAGTTACTAAGAACCTAAGAGGGACTTTACATTCAAACATACTGATGGCTTTATGAATAGCTGGTCAAAAGTCCTGGTATTTATTAGCAGTGATTCTCTGACACCAAACTGCTCCTGATGATGGTTTTAAAGTGAAACTGAAATCCTGAGACTGGAGCATTGCCTCTGTCCTGTCATGACTAATCTAATATCAGCGTATTGTCTTTTCTGGAACAACTTCAACATTAATTGCCTGAGAAAATGATGTCTACTGCTGCATCCACAGCAGAAAACATGGACAGTGACACAGTTAACTTTTTGTTCACCATGGCTTTTCCTAAAATGCTGCTGACTGTTTATGGCTACTGTTCACAGGTCAGTGAGATCCATCTACAGTTTTGAATTTACAACAACACTATACAGTATGGGGTGAATACTTTTGTGAATAAAAACAGTCCATGTCTTTAGTTATTGCCTTTGACTGGAAATATTTGGTGACCATGTAACATTCATTTTGGAGAGCCTGTGATTTTGTGAACAAAATGAGTATTACAAGAACAAACATGTGAAATGTCCTGACCTGCTCAAAAACTGGATTTCAGGATCTCAAGCATCTTTCTAAGAGGATTATGTTTTATTAATGTTCATGTTTCATTAAGCATGAAAGCAGCAGGATTCATCTAGACAACACAGTAACATTACACTTGCTAACATTACTCAAACTGACAGCAAATACATAGGTACAGGTACTGAGCAGCAGAACAGCAAGTTGACACTAGGTATGTTAGTCGCCATAATCGACTATGACGAATATGAAAATAAGTTAAATAATATATTTTAAGTCAACGAATCGTTTCCCACACGTTAATTTATTCGTGGTGGCCAGTCACTATTAACTTTTTCTAGTTATCATTTATGGTCGCACTTCTTCTCTGCTCTCTCTGCTCTCCGGGAGCAGGTACACACACACACACACACACACACACACACACACACACACACGCACACACACGCACACACACACACACACACACACAAAACACTGCATGGACACAGAACCAGGTGAACCAAAGATAACTGTAGATTACTGGAGTTGACGACGACTATCTCCGAACTTTACTGTAAGTGCAATAAAAAGTAAAAGGCCAATAAGAACTTTATCCAAACACCTGTTCAACAAGCAACAAACAGAAAAGAGATATTTACATCTATTTTGTCTCCCGGTGTCTTTTACACAACAACATTACACCGGTTAAGCTAATAGTGAATTGTTATCAAACGCTAAAACGAAAGTTGACTTGTTGTAAACTGAGCAACTGGCTGAAACAAACCAGCACAATCAATTCACATCCTGTCCTGAATTTATTCTTTTTATAAAAGAACCAGTAATAGTCTGAGCGGGATCAATAAGGATATAGATAAGATAAAGCTGATAAAGACTCATAAAGTCATAAAGTGGTTGCTGCTGCCTGAGAATTTACACTGAATAAGTGTTAGAGAAAATATTTTGGCCTGAATCTGAGCTTAGTGACCATGTCAGAGTGTCAGTTAGATTTTCTGGAGGAAAATTAATTGTTTAGATTAAAGTCAATAAATTAATCGTTGTTAAGATAGTTGTTAGTGGTGGCCCTACAGATTATCACCTGGATTGAAATATGGTAAATAAAGAAATGTTCAATTTATGTCAAACTGTGAATTTCCAAGTCTTGCATCTGTCCACTAAGTAAGGGTCGCTTCCCCATTTTTCACCTAAAAGCACCACTGGTGTGTCTTTTTGTCTCTCTTGTGACTGACCTTCTGGTCCTGAGCCAACAGACAAACTCTGCACCAGGTCATTCCTGTTGAGCTTCTCTAAAACCTTCCTGGTCACCTCCACAGCTCCAGGAAGAGTGTACGTCTGCACCATCAGATCCACTGTCTCCCACGTGTTTTTCGTCTGCAGTTGGATTTTTTTGATGGTTGGGAAGCCTGGTGTAATGTCAGGCTGCTGCAGGAACCACTTGAATTTATTGAATTCCTCATGTCCCAGATCTTCCAGAGTGTTCAAGAGGTCCTCTGGTGTCATCACGGCTCCCTGATAAAATCAGAGAACATTGTCAGCAGTTTTGTCAAAGCTGTGTTATTGGTTCCTGCTTTTCTGATCTGTTCCTAATCACAATCAAAAAACTACACAAAAACACTGGTTCATATTGGTCAGGGTCGCATGGTTGTCACCGTCTTATTAACTGTGACTGGAGGGAGCAGTCGGTGTCCAGTAGCTGCGTGGTTAAAACACCAACCACAGGTTCCTCATTTTGATTCCTGCCACTAAGCTGAGTCAGTGCTACAGGACCTGAGAGACAGTTACTGTGAAAGATCAGTGTTTGACAGTCATATGACTTTTCTGATAATTATTAATATTTATTATTTATTAATATAAATAATATGTATATGTTCACAGATTCAGGCCTAAACATTTTCTCTAACACTTATTCAGTGTAAATTCTTTGGCAGCAGCAACCACTTTATGACTTTATGAGCCTTTATCAGCTACAAGGAGCAAAGACATTAAGAAACTCTGTCTACTAATGAACAGATACTTACACATGAAGTAATCCTTCACGTTTGTGACTGATCTCACTGTGCGCCATCAAAAATAATAATCACAAAATTACACTGGTTAAATAAGACTTAGAGTGAAGGGATTCCTGACAGAGAAGCAGCGCGACCATAAATAATAAACAGAAAATAAATATATGATAGTTAATAGTGACTGGCCGCCACAAATAAATCAATGTATGGGAAAAGATTTGTCGATTTAAAATATTGATATTGACGCATTTTCATATTCGATATCGTTAATTATCTCCTCCTTGAACCGTCACCTTACCGTGGTGGAGGAGTTTGAGAGCCCTAATGACCCTAGGAGCTATGTTGTCGGGGGCATTTTGCCTCTGGTAGGGTCTCCCAAGGCAGATTGGTCCCAGGTGAAGGGCCAGACGAAGAACGGTTCAGAAGATCCTAATGATGAGAAATATCAAGAACCCGAGTACCCGGCCCGGAGGGACACCGGGGCCCCGCCCTGGAGCCAGGCCTGGGGTTGGGGCCCGGCCGGCTACATGGGTTCGTCTCCCAGTGGGCTCACCACCTGCAGGAAGAGTCAGCAGGATCCGGTGCAGTGTGGATTGGGCAGCAGACCAAGGCGGGGGCCTTGGCGGTCCGATCCAGACCCGGCAGGCCCAAACGGGTTGTGAGGGTCTGCTGGGAAAGCCTGGCGGAAGAACCCGTCAAGACGATTTTCAACGCACACCTCCGGCAGAGTTTCGATCGCATCCCGAGGGCGGTGGGGGACATTGAGTCCGAATGGGCCTTGTTCCGCTCTGCTATTGTTGAGGCGGCTGTTGCAAGCTGCGGCCGCAAGGTAGCTGGGGCCAGTCGTGGGGCCCCGTACCCGCTGGTGGACACCAGGGGCGGGGGACGCCGTCAGGCTGAAGAAGGAGGCCTACAGGGCGTGATTGGCCTGTGGGTCTCCGAAATCAGCTGACTGGTACCGGCAGGCCAAACGGAGTGCAGCCGCAGCAGTTGCTGAGGCAAAAATTCGGGCGTGGGAGGAGTTCGGTGAGACAAAGGAGGAAGACTATCGATCAGCTCCAAAAAGGTTCTGGCAAACCGTCCGGCGCCTCAGGGGAGGAAGGCGGCAACTCGCTCACACCGTTTACAGTGGGGGCGGGGAACTGCTGACGTCAACTGAGGATATAGTCGGACGTTGGAAGGAATACTTTGAGGAGCTCCTCAATCCCACCAACACGTATTCCGTGGAGGAAACAGAGCCAAGAGACCTGGGGATGGATGATCTAATCTCCGGGGCAGAAGTCGTGAAACAACTGCGCGGTGGCAGAGCCCCGGGGGTTGATGAGATCCACCCTGGGTATCTCAAGGCTCTGGATGTTGTAGGACTGTCTTGGTTGACACGCCTCTGTAACATTGCGTGGACATCGGGGGCAGTGCCTCTGGAGTGGCAAACCGGGGTGGTGGTCCCCATCTTTAAGAAGGGTGACCAGAGGGTGTGTTCCAACTACCGTGGAATTACACTCCTCAGCCTCCCTGGTAAGGTCTATGCCAGGGTACTGGAAAAGAGGGTCCGGTCGATAGTTGAACCTCAGATCGAGGAGGAGCAATGTGGTTTTCGTCCTGGGCGTGGAACTGTGGACCAGCTCTTTACCCTCGCTAGGGTGCTGGAGGGAGCATGGGAGTTTGCCAATCCAGTCCACATGTGTTTTGTGGATTTGGAGAAGGCTTACGACCGTGTTCCCAGGGGCTCCCTGTGGGGGGCACTCCGGGAGTATGGGGTGGATGGCCCCTTGTTAGTGGCCATTAAGTCCCTGTACCAAAGGAGTGTGAGTCTGGTTCGCGTAGCCGGCAGTAAGTCGGACCTGTTCCCGGTGAGGGTTGGACTCCGCTAGGGCTGCCCTTTGTCACCAGTTCTGTTCATAACTTTTATGGACAGAATTTCTAGGCGCAGCCGGGTGGTGGACGGGTTTGGGTTCGGTGGCGGGAGGATCTTGTTTCTGCTTTTTGCGGATGATGTGGTCCTCCTAGCTTCATCGAGCGCTGACCGTCAGCTCTCGCTTGGGCGGTTTGCGGCCGAGTGTGAAGCGGCTGGGATGAAGATCAGCACCTCCAAGTCTGAGGCCATGGTTCTCAGCCGGAAACCAGTGGATTGCCCGCTCCGGGTCGGGGGGAGAGGGTCTGCCTCAGGTGGAGGAGTTTAAGTATCTTGGGATCTTGTTCACGAGTGAGGGTAGGATGGAGCGGGAGATCGACATGCGGATTGGGGCGGCGCCGTTGTGGGGAAGAGGGAGCTAAGCCGGAAGGCGAAGCTCTCGATTTTCCGGGCGATCTACGTTCCAATCCTCACTTATGGTCATGAGCTTTGGGTAATGACTGAAAGAACGAGATCGCGAATACAAGCGGCCGAAATGAGTTTCCTCCGCAGGGTGGCCGGGCTCAGCCTTACAGATAGGCTGAGGAGCTCGGTCATCCAGGAGGGACTCGGAGTACAGCCGCTGCTCCTCCATGTCGAGAGGAGCCAGTTGAGGTGGTTCGGGCATCTGGTGAGGATGCCTCCTGGACGCCTCCCCGGAAGGGTGTTTCGGGCATGTCCCACCGGGAGGAGGCCTCGGGGCCGACCAAGGACACGCTGGAGGGATTATATCTCGCAGCTGGCCTTGGTACGCCTCGGGATTCTCCCGGAGGAGCTGGTGGAAGTGGCTGGGGAGAGGGCTGTCTGGACCTCTTTGCTGCGGCTGCTGCCCCCACGACCCGGATAAGCGGGAGACGACGAACGAACGAACGAACGAACGAACGAACGAACGATATCATTAAGTATGGGAACTAAAAATATTCAAACTAAAGTGTACACTTGATATTGTCTTTCCTTCTGGGAACATGTTTTAAAGTTGCTAAAACACTTTTTTTGTTGACAGCAGCTTCTGTGCCGGTGCTTCTGCTTCTTCTCTAAACTGGGAGCGCTGATCTGAATCTGCTTCAGGTAATACATTGACTATAGATACAGGAAGTACCTCACACAACCCCACATCAAATAGCCCCAACTATCACTTTAACAATGCAGTACTGCATTTGAAGAGACAATGCATTATTATCCAACTCTCTCAACAAAGCCCAATACACATTAGAAACCACTGCTCCGAACCAGAGAGAAAGGATGAACCTTGAACCTTTGCAGGCAAAACAACCTAACAAGCATGTCGATTTTAGCAACTGAACCAAACAAGCTAACCAATTCCACATTGTTCAACCGTTTAAAGGAAGTTAGGAAGAAAGCAAAATTCATCTATAAAACTAATATAAATGACCACAGTTATCAGCCTGCAGTAACTAATATTTACATTTGAAGGATAATGTAACTTAACATTATTCTGAGGTTCAGACACCTAGGTTGTGATGTCATCCAACCTGCATGTGCTACCATGTGACGTGACTTGGGGCTGTGTTAACAGCGTTTCCACAATATAACTTCCGTCCATGAACTATGACCCTGAACATAACATAGCCCTTTGATGGCAGTGTTATCTGTTATGGGGAGCTCTGATAGATATCCTAGTGGTAAAGGAAAATAGGATAATGCTGAAATAATCTTTCAGGTCCACACAAGTTTTCCAAGACATTTTACTTTCTCTCTCATTTTCCATGTGTTTTCCATGACTGGAAATTTGGTCAACTGTTCCCCAGGTTTTCCAGGACATGTGGGAACCCTGTGAATTGTAATAACATTGGTGATCTTTTTATGTAGTGTCACCATCAGGTCAGAATTTTTATTTGTCTACTACTTGGGTTTATGACCAAAGTACAGCCTCACAGAGCTGCTAGCATGGCTGAGGACTGGAGTATTGGTTACTAATTAACTGTGAACTGGCATTGATACTATATTTGTTATCTACATGTTTTTACTGTTAAGGAAGTCCAGACATGAGTTTGACTTAATGGACTCCTCTGATTGTACACAGGGATGCAAACACATGTATGGTGAAAAAAGAGAGAGCTACCCATATTCAAAAGAGAGCGAGCCACAACATGCCACACAGTCACACCTGACACATACACTACAATCATACCTCCTTTAAAAAAGTCTGCTCCATACGTCGGCCTAAGAGCTCCTCTCTTGGCAAACTTGAGCATTATACCTGTAAATTATAGATAACAGTAAGTACAGTAGTACTTTTATACGTTTTCAATATAAAATACTTCTTATGCTATGGCTTGGCTGAGTACTTAATGTATACTATTTAGAGGAGCCATTACTCACATATATTGTCTGGACTAGTCCACACAGCTTTACTTCAAATAAAATTCACCTTTTCACTTGCCAAAAAGTGACTGCAGCATTTACCTTGTCAATGAAAGGTTGTTTCAGCCTCAAAATGAATTTATTTTAACAGGTAAAAAGGAGCAGGTGACTCCAATCTGTCAAATATAATCATCAAGTGTGATATCAAGTCATATTGTGGCATTAACAACCTTTCACAAGTTAAAATAATGTTTTCACTTGTCAAAAATTGATTACAGCATCTACGTATGTGTTGTATTGGCCCTTTAAAGGTCTTTCAACAGAAAAAGGACAGGAGTAGTTACAATCTAATGCACAGAGCAGGTACAATAATGCAGAGTCATCTGGATAATTGCAGATTATTTATTTGATATATAACCCATCCCTAAATCATGTTCAATAGTCTAGTTTCCATATATTAACACCACATATTAACAAGGATATTAGACAAACCAATCTCATATAAACGTTGGGAACAACACTAGCGTAGCCTATAATTACCTAAATGTCCTTCCTGATTAAGCTATAACCTACAAACACTTCTTTGGCCACAACTATGATTATTCACTTTCAGCAATCATGAAAGTTTCACAAAGACAGAGACATGAAGTTATATGTATTTACATGTGATGACTGTTTGATCCAATTTCAACATCAACATTTTTCTCCACACAAACAAACACACTGTGGTCTCCATCAGACAGTCACTCTGACCAGCAGTGCCGTTCCACTACAACATGTCCGACAGGTAGGTTAATGTCAGCGAGGTCGACCCCTCCCTGAAACAGTCAGCAGGCAATAAGTGAACAAGAGGTAGAAATGCGTTTAACACTCACACAGAAACAGGAGCTGAAGTCTTGGTGATTGTTGATTCTCCTGCAGACTGAAAGAATTCAATCTGTGGAGTCTTCATGATCTGACGAGCAGGACCAGGAACTGATGTCTACATTTGAGGGAACAGGAAACTTTCACACTCCATTATGCAAGAGCAGAAGAACATCATTGCTTAAAAGCAAGTGGCAACGCCACCGTCACGTCAGCCATTGGTTTGTGAATTGCCGTTTTAAATAATGGATCTCCACTCAGGATCTCTGGAGCTAATGTACATTAGTTTTATTCATAACTACAGTAATTGAAAAATGTATTGAATAAATAAACCTACTTGTACTTAAAGCATGTTTTTTTTTTCAGATTTACGATATGCCTCATAATGAATATAACAGGACTCTTTGGTGAACTAGTGTTTTCAGTGTCATTAAAATTAAAATTGATAAGTTCATAAGACACATAAGGAAAGCACAAATTCTAATGTCTGTCCTTCATCGTCAGTTCTCAAGGATGGCAACATTTAATAAACATTTCTATTATTTATGTTGTTGATTACAGCAAACATAGAAATAGCCTTGTAATTAATGACAAATTCTGGCATAACATCCATAAATGTGTGAACCCTGGACTGTGTCTCACACGCGCATAAACACACACAAACTAGTACTTCCTCCTCTTTCTCTGTCCCTCCTTAGATAACACAGTCATAAATCACAAGTCATATTCCAATCATGATGAGGAGCCAGCACTTTCCTCTTTTAAACACATATCTGGAATAATACAAATGAACTATCCGACATTTCTGTAGCCTGTGTAGTATCCATCGTGTAATTTAGGTCAGTCCCAAGATTTCTATCCTATAGAATGGCTGAAATGTAACATGTAGATTTCTAGACAATAGCTTTCATGTGACCATATTGTCAGCATTCTACACACAAGGTAACAGACATTTAATTCTCACAATGGTGTTTATTATTATTATTAGTGTGTGTGTTTACTGTCGATCGGAGACAGAGGCAATAAATATCTGCAATAACTGCAGGGTCATTTGACTGGGGAGCGAATGCTGATTGTAGCCTTTCCCATTACTGACACCAGCCTGATGTTAGTGGGTCTTAACAATTTTTTTTGACCAGTGTAAAAGGGGCTATAGAGAACTATGATTATTGTGTGTTTATCCTTTGGATTTTTCTGTGTTGGTTCTTTGTAGTTTGGTTTTGATTGTAGATGTCTGGGGAACATTGTAATATTAAAACTAGCAGCCATTCTCACACTAGTTCCTTTGCTGCAATATAACAGCAAATTAGGTGATCAGCAATGTCAGCCATAAATATTAATTGCTATCTATGCAGCACTACTACAACAAAAGTTATAGTAGCTGTACTCTTATGCTTCAGGTTTGTCATCCATGCCAAGATTAAACATATTCTGGAAGATGCTCTGAAAACATCTTACACACATTTACCTTCATGTAACTGAGGAAGTAGATGCTCCCATTCCTCTGGATGCACATGCTTTAAAGGCATTGTTATTTGAGGCACTTTCAGCTTGCACACAAATTAATTAAATGTGGCTTTCTTCTTGAGAGATCCTTTAAGATGGTATGCAACCATAACATATTTGTCATCATCTGAAAAAAAGTAAAAGGGGGAGATTAAACAGTTGACTAGAAAGAAAGACAACTAAGTTCATTTAACTAGGGAGATAACATTAGCTTTATGTCCACCACCCAAGGGATGCCTAGCCACACAAAATTAAAATTCATTCGTTTTGCCATGATAAGGGGTTAGCATTTGCGTCTCTTAACTCCGCCGCACTGTTGTTAACTAGCTAACCTGCACGACGCGTATGGGCAGGGCACATATGCAAGCACTGTCAATGCTATGATTGGCTACGTGAAGTGAACCGTATTGTATCATTAGCTGGACACCTGACACCTGTCGCTGAGTTACATTGCAAAATGGTACAGAAAAAATATTATTGGTCTAATTAATTAGATTAGGTCTAATATTAAATATTAATTAATAAGTTTATGTTGATTTTTTTTTGCGCTGCATAGATTTGCGCTGAGAATGTGCGAGCGGTGCGCGATTGCGCAAGTGCGCAGCTTAGAGGGAACATTGATTGAGACCCCGAGGGGCTACACTGCTATGGACCCTACACAGGCTAACCCACATGGGGCATCTCTGTGGGCTTTCTGTGGGAAAAACCACAGTAGGTTGCCCACAGCAAAGCCACCTTAGGGGCCCCAAAGGGCAAAACTGCTGCCTACATGGGCTACCCACAGAATCACTAGTTAATTGAATATCTTTGGGCTTTCCATGTAACAAGAAACATTCATACTGTTAATAAAGGTTATTCCTACTGTTGATGTTTGGGCAGAAGGCTCAGGATGTATTTACGTCATTTAAGGTTATATCTAAAACATGATTCCATCATTAATGTTGGTTGGTTCTATATTTTTCATTGGCTGATTAAAACACCTGTTCACCTGCTTATTATTATTATTATTATTATTATTATTATTATTATTATCCATCAGCCAATAATGTGGCAGCATTAACTTCTGCAGATACAGGTGTGGAGCTTCAGTTCATGTTCATATCAAACATCAGAATGAGGAGAAATGTGACTCAGTGACTTTGACTGTGACATGATTGTTGGTCTGAGTGTTTCTCAAACTGCTGATCTCCTGGATCTTCACACTCAGTCTCTAGAGTTTTTACTCAGAATTGAGTAACAACAAAAGCATCCAATTAGCAGCAGCTCTGTGTTGATGAGAGAGGTCAGAGGTCAGAGGAGACTGGACAGACTGGTTGGAGCTGACAGAAAGACTACAGTCACTCAGATAACCACTCTTTACAATTCTGCTGAGCAGAGAAGCTTCAGAGTGAAAAACACATCCAACCTTCAACAGCTGAGACCACGTCAGGTTCCACTTCCTGTCGCCCAGACCAGAAACCTGAGGCTGCAGTGGACACAGACTCACCAACACTGGACAGTTGAAGACCTGGTCTGATGGATCTGGATTTGTGCTGAGGCAGCAGATGGTAGAGTCAGAGTCTGAATCCATGGACCAACCTGCCTGGTGTCAACAGTCCAGGCTGGTGGTGGTGGTGTGATGGTGTGGGGAATGTTCTCTTCTTAATACCAATCAATCATGGTCTGAATGTCTCAGTCTGTCTGAGTATTGTTGCTGAACATGTTCATCCTTCATGACCACAGTTCACCATCTTCTAATGGCTCCTTCCAGCAGGATCATGCTCCATGTCACAAAGCTAAAGTCAGACAGACAAGTAATGTCAATGTCTATTGGACAGATTAACATAAAACTTCCTAAACATTCATTGTTATCCAGACAATGAACCAGACTGACTGGTGATCCTCTGAATCTTTCCACCATAAGATTCACAATTTTAGTTTAAAAAAAAATCTGGTTTATTATATTTTGCAGTTTTTCCAACATGACACAAACAATTGCACACTGTCATCCCCTCCTTCCCTCTCTACCCCATAGCAGAGATAAACAGGAAGAAGCGTTGGCATTAACAGACCATCAAATACAAAATAGGTAAGGGGAAAGTTCAAAGAGTACAGACATGCAGGATTATGTAAGATCCCTGTATGTCACATGTCACACCAATGGTCAGATCAAACACAAAACTGTGTAATGATGAGGTGTATAGAGTTTCAACACCATTGGGCAAAAGCTGAATTTGACAGCAGGTAAGTCTGTTGTGCTGCTGACAGGACCTTAACTCTATTCCCATTTTTAATTTTTTGTGACATGTCTTGACAACTATTAGCTGGACTGTCATGAAATTTGTTGCAGATATCCATGGTGTCCAGACAATTTGTCCTGATGTGATCCTCTGACTTCTTCCGTAGCAAAGTTCAAACTTTTTATTTAACCTGTGAAATATCACGACACCTGCTGGATGGACTGACACCAAAGTGATCCAGTGACTTTTCATCACCCTGAGGTTAACACTTGTGGTCCAGACTGAAAAATCTCAGCAACTGTTAGTTGAATTGTGATGAAATGTGCTTCAGACATTCATGTTCCCCTCAGGATGAATCCTGCTAACTTTGGCCTCTGCCTTTTCATCTAGTGCCATCATCAGGTCAACATTTTAATTTGTCCAGTACTTTTTTCGCATCACTTCCGGTAAGAGGCCATCTCCCTTTTCACCACAGCGTGTGTGCCGCTGTGTGTGCTGCTTCGTGCCGCTCCTATGTGCTCCCGTTTGGCTGTGGTAAGTGTCCTCTCTCTGCGTTGTGGTGTTTGCATTTAGACGGCTAATGCTAGTGTGGTCATAGGAAATGCTGATGTCCGGATCTGTAACTCTCGTCCTCCCTCTTGTATGAGTGTGTGTGTGTGTGTGTGCGCGCATCCACTTCTGCTGAAGGTATGTTCTGTCTCTGTTGCAACTGCATCATTTTTGGCTTAATTGAACAGTGCTAACAATATGTTTTGGTTAGGTGAAACCACAGATCGGACTGCTGCTGCTTTGTCTCGGCTCTATTTCCAGCTTGTTTCCCGCTTTGCCTGCTTTGCTGCTGCTCTGCTGCTTTACCTGCTGCTTGGGTGGCGTTTTGACTGTTTGCATCTCTCGACGGACCTTTAAAGCTATTGGCTTTCCAAAATAAGACTTTTTGCTGCAGTCTACCTGAAGCAGTCAGGTTTCCACAATATCTCTGCATGGCATTGCTACACATGCTTGGACTGAGCTTGATTTCCCCTCTTAATGATTTAATTGTATGAGTGTGAGGTGTGGGTTGTATAAATTGAATTTGGATTAATTACTTAGGTTATTAATTTCTATTTCTTTTCTTTGGGTTCCTTTGATTAGTGTCAACCTGATTTCCTTTGTTTTTCTTGTGTTAAATGATATTTTGAATTGTGTATTTTCTTTGAATTAGTTATTTTGCTTTGATTTCTATTGGGCAGTTATCATTTGGATATTTAAAAGGTTTTTAGTTCTATTGTACATCTCTGTTTTCTAGGTTTAACCTGCCCATTAATTGTTTATTTATTTTGTTTGAGTTGCAACTCCCCTAATTATATTTTATTCCTGTTTCAGTTGTCGGAG